TGGAGATAAGATGGAGTCCAAAGGAGGTTGTCTGACTGCTGCAGAAGATTAAAAAAACAGGGTAAATATTTGGGGCTGGCTGATGCAAGCTCCCTTTCTCCCAAGCTCTGGCCTGAGGTGATTGCATGTGATGGAGCTTCTTCTTTAGGCCTTTCATGCATGAGGGGCTTGGGATGTGATTAGGCTTAAAACTAAGACCTGGTGCTACTGATACTCACTGGAGGCAGAATGGAGTCCCATGGAGGCTGGCTGACTCTCCTGCAGAAGATTGGAGACAGGATGGAGTGCCATGGAGGCTGGCTGACTCTGCTGCAGAATATTGGAGACAGGATGGAGTCCCATTGAGGCTGGCTGACTCTGCTGCAGAAAATTGGAGACTGGATGAGTCCTATGGAAGCTGACTGAAGAAGAGTGGAGACAGGATGGAGTGTCATGAAGTTTGGCTGAAACTCCTGGAGAATATTGGGGACAGGATGGAGTCCCATGGAGGCTGGCTGACTCTACTGCATAAGATTGGAAACAGAATGGAGTCACATGAAGATTGGCTGACTCTCTTAAAGAATATGGGAGACAGGATGGAGTGCCACGGAGGGTGGCTAACTCTCCTGCAGAATATTAGAGACAAGATGGAGTGCCATGGAGATTGTTTGACACTCCTGGATAATAATGGAGACATGATGGAGTCCCATGGAGGTTGGTTGTCTCTCCTGCAGAAGATTGGAGACAGGGTGGAGTCCCATGGAGGTTGGTTGACTCCCCTATAGAAGATTGGAGACAAGATGGAGTCTTATGGAGATTGTCTGACTCTCCTGGATAATAATGGAGACATGATGGAGTCCCATGGAGGTTGGTTTAGTTCCATAGCGGTTGGCTGATTCTCCTGGAGAAAAAGGATGTTGTTGCCAATAATGATTGCTAAAGGTTTGTAACACAGGACTGATGGGCTTGACTTAAAGGGTCTTTTCCTGTCTTGTGCTAAGTGAAGTGATGGAGCTCTGCTGATGTCTTGAGCATGTGCAATCATAACCCTCTCTCCCATGGACTGAGAGCAATAAAATCCTTTTTGTGTTTTTACCTAAAAGTGACTGGCGCCCATCTGTCTGTATGTCCCACTACGCCTAAGTGATCTACCCTTGAGGTAGATGCTTCACGGGATGCTATATGTTTTTTCTGTGTACTGAAAAAAGCCATTTTGTTCACTTGTATTGGGAAAAAAAAAGACTGCTTTTTAAAAGTCAGCTGGCTGGTGATCTGAATCCCAGGATATCACAGTGGGCACATGGTGTATATGGTCAAATCAATGCCTCAAGCACACTTTTTGTACCTTGATTCAATTGAATGTTTTATATGAATAACTATTGTTAGTTAATGAAAATTATGAATATTTATACTGTAGTTTGTATAGGAAATGCTTTCCTGAGATGCATTCTTGAGTGCTATAATGTAAAGTCCAATTTCAGAATGTTCTTTCTGGAACGGGGTTAGCTCGGCAGCGGGTGTGTGTGACCCCCTGGAAGGGTGCACAACACAAAAAGACAGGCACAGCACAACAACAGTGGAGGTGAAAACAAACAGGTGCAATTTATTTACAATATGTACAGAAAAATGGTAAACCAAAAAGAAACATCAAAATAAATCCTGGCCAACTTGGCTACTTACTGGCAACAACAGCTTTCCCTAGCTACCCACTAGGTACAGCCTGCTGCTATACCTAGTTGCTAGTACTGGAGGCCGGCCACACAGGCTTTGGTCTCTCTGCACACAGATAACAGGTCAACTCCCCAGACAGTTCAGGCACAGATCTGGTTCCAGGTTGGAGCAACTCCCTGAGCACTCTGGGAAGTTTTATACAGGTGTTAATGAGCCGACTACCTTCAGCTGGGCTCATTACCTCAGTGCTGAAGGACTTAGCACTTCCCTCTAGTGGTACAAATCCCCATAAAGCCTGAACCTCGGACAAATATATCGTCCATCCAGGACACAACCAGGTGATCTCACCTGCCTACTGTCACATTTCCTATCTAGAACCTTACCGTATTATAGCGCTACAATAATTTAGCCGTGTAGTTATTTCCATCCTAATAGAAGTTTGAATTTACAATAACAAACTTTTGTTGATAGGAGATAAATGATGAAGTACAGGAGATAAACGATGGATGATGAAGGTACATGGGAATGAGTTAAATTCCTTCTTACCCAACATCAATGACTGTGACAAAGTCCCCAGCATCCAGAGGCAGCCAGGAGGGATTGTTCACTTCATGAAGAATCTGAATCTCTAGTGGCTTCACCTGAAGAAAGAGTAAATAGCTAGTCAGATGATAAAACTTTAAAGAGAGATAGATCTCCAGAATTAATTGGAGGTGCACTATATAGCTAAATGTTTTGGACACCTGAACGTGACATCTGTGTTCCTGTTGGGCAGGTGATTCAAAAACACTCGGCATTAATATGGAGTTGTCCCCCATCTTTGCAGCCTCAACAGCCTCCACTCTTCTGGTGAGACATTACACAAGATTATCAAGGGTGTCTGGGAATTGTACACAATGGTGAGGTCAGGTACTGATATTGAACTAGAAAACCTGGCTCACAATCAGTGTTCCAAAGGTGTTCATAAGGGTTGAGGTCAGGGCTTGGAGTTTGTTTAACAGCTCATTCCAAAACCATGATCTCCACTTCTCTGGGAAGGCTTTCCACAAGTTTTACCAGTTCATTCCAAAGATATTTAGTAGAGTTGAGGTCAGGCCTCTGTGCAGGACACTCAAGTCCCTCCACACCAATCTGGTCCTCCATGTCTTTATGGAGATGGCTTTGTACACAGGGCACAGTCATGGTCGAACAGAAAAGGGTCTTCACCAAACTGTTGTCACAAAATTGGAAGAGCACAAATGTTTACAATGTCTTTGTATGTTGTCGCATTAACAGTACCTTTCACTGATTTGCCCATATATTTTTGGCTGTATCGTGTACACAATCAGAAACATATCTATAAAAGAGTTTGTAGATGACAATAAAGGTGATGTCAGACAAAGGTCTCCAGAGGACAGTAAGGGTGATATTGAATATTGGATTCACTCACATTCTGCAGAAGTCTGATGAGAGTAGCAAACTTTGGCCTCTGTTCAGGTGTGTGTGCCCAACACTTCATCATGATATTGTACAAAGCAGGAGGACAATCATCTGGACATTCCAGCCGTTCATCCTCTCGGTCAATCTTCATTAAAATCTGGAGACATGAACACAGTTATACAGTTTTGGTTCTGATGAATGGTGAAAATGACTCTTTATGAGAGCTTCAGGTTACCTGTTCCCCACTCAGGCCTCGCCAGGGTATCTGTCCATAGGTAAACATCTCCCACATGGTGACCCCAAACATCCAGACATCCGATGGGAGTGAGAAGGTGCCCATTCTCAAGCTTTCTGGTGAACACCTGTCACAAAAAAGACAGATAATTGGTCATCTAGTGATCTGGGATTCCCGGTTATCACCCAAGTTTAATTTTGATTAGCATTCTTGATCTCCCATATTGCTGCCTTCTATCCTCACCATGGAAAGGGTATCCTGCTTTGAGCAGACATGAGGTAATATTCATCATTCGCAGTCAGTACCCTTGTCAGGCCAAAATCACCGATCTTTACCATTTCTTCGCTCACCAGCAAGACATTCCGTGTTGCCAGGTCCCTGTGGATGAACTTGTGGCTCTCGAGGTAGCTCATCCCTGAGGCAATCTGGATGCAGTACAACCACAAGAGCTTCAGAGGATATTCACCATAGTTAGAACGCAGAGCATCCCGTAAGGATCCGAGAGGTGCCAGCTCTGTGATCTGAGATGTAAGAAAGAAAGATAAGAGGCAGTAATTATTAAGATACACAAATCACACTGCCAGAGATTGGGTAGACCTAGGGACCCTTTTTTATAACCCCGGTGAAGGGGGAAGACTGTGCCACCTTGGTGGAGGATGGACAGATTCAGAGGTTCCATTGGGCCTTCCTGGTGGAATAAGAAGAGACTCAGACCTTTTTTATGTTTACTTGCTATGCATGAAATGTACAGTACTGTTGCCTAAATCATTCCATTGAGAACTAATTGCTCACCATTTTCATTGGCTGGGTCAGAACCACCCCATAGAGACGGATAAGGTGTGGATGATCCAGGGCGTACATGGCATTCACTTCATGCAGGAAATCCTGAAGAATTTTAGGATCGGTGTCAGCATCTGAACGGAGGGTTTTCACTGCAACATTCACCTGGAAAGACAAAGCAGGTGAATGAGACCGCTGCAGAGTGACAGGACATGGTATGGAGCCAAAAGCTCAGGGAACTGGCAGACAATGTAAGGAGGTACTAACTGTCCTTCCATTGGGAGTCCTCCATTCCCCTCTGCAGACCACTCCAAAGCAGCCCTCCCCAAGGTGCTCCAACAGGTGCAGGTCTCGGTCACTGATGAGACACGTCAAGGCAAAGTCACTTTTTTCCTGATGGGAGGTGGGTGAAAGGAAAGAGGGGGATGTGAAGGAGGGTGATTTGACGTCTAAATTTGAGGGTGATTCAGGGCTCTCAGAGTTTCTGTGTCTGAACATCTATAGAGGGGAAGAAACAGAAAATTGTTTTACCAGATGCCACATGTGGTTCAATCACCTGCGGTCTACTTTGATCACTCAGATAACAATGATGAGATTTCCCCAAGTAGTTTGTGTCTCTGCCCCTCCCACAATGGGGAGATCTCCCTGCAGTAGTGTGTGTCTCTGCCCCTCCCACAATGGGGAGATCTCCCTGCAGTAGTGTGTGTCTCTGCCCCTCCCACAATGGGGAGATCTCCCTGCAGTAGTTTGTCTCTGCTTCTCCCACAATGGGGAGATCTCCCTGCAGTAGTTTGTGTCTCTGCCCCTCCCACAATGGGGAGATTTCCCTGCAGTAGTTTATGTCTCTGCCCCTCCCACAATGGGGAGATTTCCCTGCAGTAGTTTATGTCTCTGCCCCTCCCACAATGGGGAGATCTCCCTGCAGTAGTTTGTGTCTCTGCCCCTCCCACAATGGGGAGATTTCCATGCAATAGTTTGTCTCTGCTTCTCCCACAATGGGGAGATCTCCCTGCAGTAGTTTGTGTCTCTGCCCCTCCCACAATGGGGAGATTTCCCTGCAGTAGTTTATGTCTCTGCCCCTCCCACAATGGGGAGATTTCCCTGCAGTAGTGTGTGTCTCTGCCCCTCCCACAATGGGGAGATCTCCCTGCCGTAGTTTGTGTCTCTGCCCCTCCCACAATGGGGAGATCTCCCTGCAGTAGTTTGTGTCTCTGCCCCTCCCACAATGGGGAGATTTCCATGCAATAGTTTGTCTCTGCTTCTCCCACAATGGGGAGATCTCCCTGCAGTAGTTTGTGTCTCTGCCCCTCCCACAATGGGGAGATTTCCCTGCAGTAGTTTATGTCTCTGCCCCTTCCACAATGGGGAGATTTCCCTGCAGTAGTTTGTGTCTCTGCCCCTCCCACAATGGGGAGATTTCCCTGCCGTAGTTTTTGTTTCTGCCCCTCCCACAATGGGGAGATTTCCCTGCCATAGTTTTTGTCTCTGCCCCTCCCACAATGGGGAGATTTCCCTGCAGTAGTTTTTGTCTCTGCCCCTCCCACAATGGGGAGATTTCCCTGCAGTAGTTTTTGTCTCTGCCCCTCCCACAATGGGGAGATTCCCTGTAGTAGTTTGTATCTCTGCCCCTCCCACAATGGGGAGATTCCCTATAGTAGTTTGTGTCTCTGCCCCTCCCACAATGGGGGGAGATATGGAGGGAGAAAGCTCACCTTGCATATCCAATGTTTGGCACAGACGGGGGGCTTTTTCCACTTTATAGCTTCAAAGATCCTCTTCTGAGCTGAAAGACATAACAGGGTTCAAGGCTGCAGATCCTCCAAATTCATGTAGACCCGGTTTACACCAATGGGGTGCGGGAAACGTTGTGAATCCTGTGCATTTCCCACACCGGATTGCAATCACATCGCGTTCGTGCCATCTGGTGCCGGTGTCAATGATAAATGAATGACACCCCAAAACAGATGACAAAACACGATGCACGGGATTGGACAGTGGAAGTCAGTAGGGCTGCACCTCATTTACTGAGCTCTCGAGCAACTGCACTCGCAAGGTGCCCAATCTATTTGCCTTTAGTAAATCCACTCCTAGGTTTCCTTATAGCATGTGATCAGCGTGTGCGGCTCGTGTTGTTCCGAATCGAAATTCGGACGCAATTTTCGGTGATTCAGACCAATCCGAATTCCGGAATAACAATAGTAATAAATTTCATGGAATCCGTAATAACAAAACTCAATTTTGTTTGAAATTCGGATTGAATTTGAATTGCATTAAAAAATGAAATCAAATTAGAAAACAGATTTGAAATATAAACATATTGCTGATCTCCTTCAAAGTGTGTGTTGGCATTAGAATAGATACATCTTCCGAAATTCACAATAATAGAATAAAACAGAAAATAAAAGAATAGAAAGGAATAGAATAGAAAAAAATAACTGAATGCACTGTATTTGAATGGAATAGAAAGAATATAGCCATTTTCCGAAATTCAAAAATAATAGGATAGAATAAAACAATAGAAAATAATAGAAAAAAAATAAAATAGAAAATAAAATAGAATAAAATGCAATAGAAGATAGAAAAAAATAAAAGAGAAAAAAAAACAGAATATATTTGAATTGAATAAAATAGAAATGCAAATTTTAAAAAGAATAGAATAGAATAAAACAGATTAGAATAAAATAGAACACAAAATAAAGAAATGTAACCGAATAGAACAAAAACAATGGAATAGAGTAGAAAAGAATATAATAGAAAATCAAAAATAGAAAATAACAGAAAATAATATAATAGAAAATAAAAGAATAGGAAAAAAAACAATATAATAGAAATAAATAAAAGAGAAAAAAAGACAGAATATATTTGAATAGAGCAAAATAGAAATGAAAATTTGAAAAGAATAGAAAATAATAAAACAGAACAGACTAAAATAGAATACAAATGATAGAAATGAAACCGAATAGAACAAAAAACAATGGAATAGAGTAGAAAAAAAATAAAAAATAAAATAAAAAATATAAAATAATAGAAAATAAAAGAATAGAATAGCATAAACTACAATAGAATAGAAAAGAAAAAAACAGAATATCTTTAACACCTATAGCAGATTGATGGCCGGGCGGGGCATTTGCCATTGTGACTGGGCATCATATGTCGTCCTGTCAAAACGAGCCACCCTGCTTTGATCTCTCCCGACCCCGCTGTTTCCTCTCTCCCGACCCCGCTGTTTCCTCTCTCCTGACTCTGCTTTGATCTCTCCCGACCCCGCTGTTTCCTCTCTCCTGACCCTGCTTTGATCTCTCCTGATCCCGCTGTTTTCTCTCTCCTGACCCTGCTTTGTTCTCTCCTGACCCCGCTGTTTCCTCTCTCCCAACCCCACTGTTTCCTCTCTCCTGACCCTGCTTTGATCTCTCCTGACCCCACTGTTTCCTCTCTCCCAACCCCACTGTTTCCTCTCTCCTGGTCCCCCTATTTCCTCTCTCCTGACCCTGCTTTCATCTCACCTGACTACGCTGCTTCCTCTCTCCCAGCCACAATGTTTCCTGTCTCCTGACTCTGCTTTGATCTCTCCCAACCCCGCTGTTTCCTCTCTCCTGACCCTGCTTTGATCTCTCCCAACCCCGCTGTTTCCTCTCTCCTGACCCTGCTTTGATCTCTCCCAACCCCACTGTTTCCTCTCTCCTGACCCTGCTTTGATCTCTCCCAACCCCGCTGTTTCCTCTCTCCCAACCTTGCTGTTTCCTCTCTCCTGACCCTGCTTTGATCTCTCCCAACCCCGCTGTTTCCTCTCTCCTGACCCTGCTTTGATCTCTCCCAACCCCGCTGTTTCCTCTCTCCCAACCTCGCTGTTTCCTCTCTCCTGACCCTGCTTTGATAACTCCCAGCCCCACTGTTTCCTCTCTCCTGACCCTGCGTTGATATCTCCCGTCCCCACTGTTTCCTCTCTCCTGACCCTGCTTTGATCTCTCCTGACCCCACTGTTTCCTCTCTCCTGACCCTGCTTTGATCTCTCCTCTCCCCACTGTTTCCTCTCTCCCTGCCATGATGTTTCCTCTCTAATGACCCTGCTTTGATCTCTCCCAGCCCCACTCTCCCAGCCCCACTGTTTCCTCTCTCCTGGCCCCACTGTTTCCTCTCTCCTGACCTCTCGCATTGAAATCCACCTGACCAGCAGCCTGAGCTCTGTCCAGCCGAGACCGAGCCAAGGTCAGACGATTACTAATTGACCAGCTCCAGAACTGAGCATTCTGGTCTGCTAGTCAAGTGCGTGGAGACATTTTGCCACTTGGTGCCTTTCCCGTAAATTTGAAAGTGACCTGTCAGGGGAGTGAGATGGCCTGGGGCTCCCCCAAAGTGTGCGACCTTTGCGACCCTAGTAGTTCTGTCACTGATTCTCTATCTACACCTTCTCCCTGGGCCAACTGATAGCTTTTCACAGTTACCCATCTAGCCTTCTAATAATTCTAGTAATTTTGCACTGTAACTGTATTGTCTCCCTTTTCAGTGTAAAGCGATACGATTGAGGCATCAACAGCGAGGCTCTTTCTGTCCATACATCATACATCTGCATCAGAGGTTGGTCATCAGCTCTGAGGAAAGGGATTTGTCCCCGAAATGCGTCAGCCATTTGACCGCACTGACAGTGAGAACACCTTGCCTGCCGTTGTGGCCATCGTCATTTTTCTATGCTTTTTAGATCCATGCTTTGTCTGTGAGTATGTTTTTATTATCTCATTCCTACAATAAACCTTGGATAATGCACTAGGTGTGTGCGCCGCCTGTTTTCTCTCTATAAAGCTATACGAAAACTGTTTTCTATAGAAATCCTAAATAACAGTAATACTAATGATTTAGGAAAGCAGCGGGACATTTTGATTGAAATAGAGTTGGCCAAAAGTACACTAGAGACAAAATACAGTTTTATTATATTTAGAAGACTGCAGATAACACAGCAATGCAAAACTGTCCAGCAGCAAGACAACTTTGAATAGTACGGCTAGGCCCACATCTACTGGAGACAAAGAGTCCATCCTGGGCTACAAGAATGAAGACCCTGCAGAGGACACAGCAGTGTAAACTGGGCCAACAGCCAGTGGTGTACTTAAGTTTTGTGCTGCCCTAGGCAACACAAAAATCTGCCCCCACGGACAATGACCAAACCCCCCCTTCCCCCTCCTGCAGAGAAAACCTGACATTGACCAACAACACCCCTGCCCCCCACCTCGGAGAGCCTTCCACTACCCCCCCCCCCCCCCGGCAATAGAGAGAAAGACACTCATCTTCACAGCTCCGGACACCCCAGGGAACGAGAGTCAGGCTCTGCATACACCATCAAGCAACCTCTCTCGGATCCCACCTGGTCCCCATGGCATGCGTGTCCCTTCTTTCATACCTTCTTCTGGGGAGGAGGAGCTGCCCCCCTGAAAAATGCCACCCTAGTTTGCCTTGTGGTAAATATGCCCCTGCCAACAGCAGAACTGTTTTAATGAAAGAGAATTGGCCAAAATGTTCTAGAGAAGCCTTCCCACGCTTTTTAACATGGAGGACTAGCACGACTATGTAAAAAAACTTTCACACCTACTCTCTTTAATCTTTGAGAGATGCACAGGGAACATTGAAAAACAATCCTCTAGACATTATTTCCATTTTAGAAAACTTCTACCAAACTCTATATGGCTCAGATCCTATAGACACTTGTAATGTACCGCCTGGCGGCACCTCTAGCAACCCACGGGATAGGATTCCCAAGAGCGCGGAGTCTAAGTCCCAGTCTGCTTGTTCACCAGGGCCCCTGATGGTGGGGATGGACTCGGAGCAGAGAGAGACCAGGTCACGGCCCCTGAGAACAAACCACCCTGGTAGAGGGATCCGCCAGAGGTATATACTGGGGAAGAGCCTGACGTGAAGAGGCGGATAGGTCCGTGCAGGATGGATGGATGGTGAAGTAGAAGCGTGGTCAGACAGGCTGGGTCGGTAACGGTGGGGACAGCGTGGTACAAGGCAGCAGGCGCAGAGTAGTCGGGTCACTCGCTGGGTCAGTAACAGGAGGTCAGATCCAATACGGGTATCCAAAAGAGAAGTCAAAACAGGCCAGGGGTCAGGGCAGGAGAAGTCAGCAGAGGTCAGGATCAAAGCAGATATAATACAAACTCTAAATATCCCTACGAAAAGTATCACTCTCACCCTTGAAAGTGTAAACAAAATATAAATAATATCTTTTCGATGCTCCCTCTACCACCCCCAACAGTGCAACAACATATATCAGCAAATGTCCACATATGAGTCCATATATAGTGCTTTTTCAATATATAGTGCTTTTTCAAACGTTGGGGACGTAAGGACGTAACACTACAACTTCAAACCGGAAGGAGCGGCACGGCCATCTTGGATACTGGAGTTCAGCTATATGGACTGTGGGAGAGGATGGACGCTGGCGT